TCCCATTTCAGCAGAGATGAGAAACTCAAGTAAGCCTCATCTGTGGTCCTTAAAAATCCTGCCCCACTTAGCCTTAAAAGCAGGAGGACTAAAGAACTATCCAAACAAAGCTGGTGGAGCAGAGGGAGGCTGATCATTCGGACTTTCTGTGATGATCTACTGAATTTTACTGAGTTTCTAATGCAGCTGTCATATTCATTCAGTATTTATCCAGAGAGGGAGAAGTCCCTGCAATGCAAAAATCTGCACTTCAAATACACTATTTTGAAGATATGGAAGTACACTTCTCCAGTCTGAAAACTGTATTATTAAAATCAGACCCTGTGTGCTACGGCAGATCAGAGCCAGTAGAACCAAGTGTCCTGAATTCCCCTCTCCGCCCCCAGCACTGAGAACATTTTGGCAAGGCAGAGCTTTGCAAAATTCTTACTTCCTACTCCTATTTCCAGACAGCCACAGTCCGCATCACTCACAGGTCGCTACAAATCTGGCATCTGCCTGACCTCGTTAAAAAATAAAAAAAACAAATTGCATCCTACCTCAAGAACAGCCAGAATGACTAAAAGGCAGGCATGGTTTTGCTGAGATGCTTTGTCACATCATGCACGCTTTAAAACGTTTAATAGCAACTGAAATCATAAGTCTGACTACTAGCATCAAGTTCCTTTATTACTTCACTTACCTAAAAGAGCAGCAAAAATAGGAAAGCGATTTGGATTCAGGTCCAGTTGCTTGGCAACTTCATGCATTAGGTATTGGCTTGTTGTGAGACTTTTCCCATTACGGCTCAGTTTTAGGGCATGGGCACTGAAATAGTACGGGATGTTGCACAATGCATAATCGGAGTCATATGCAACCAAACCATGGAAACCTTTTTCTCTGCAGAAAGCAATTACTTCTTGATGATGATCCTCAATGCTCTGTGCAACCTGTAGTGGAAGACAGAGTAATTAGCGACAGTGCAAAATGGCAGCACTGATTCAGCACATGTACTACGATATATTGCGTCCTTCTGAAACCATAAACGTGCATTTGAAACACCTGCAGAATATTTACAGTAATTAGAAAATCCGATGACACGGCACAGACGGCCAGGCTGCAAGGAGCGCTCGGGAGCACAGCGCCAAGTGCTGCAGGCCTACACACTGGAGTGCGCTATGCATTGCTCAGCCCATCTGAAGTAACTGTTTATTAACAGGAACACTCAAGCTCTAAACACATTACTGCAGCAAAGCCTGCGTTAGCTCCAGGAAAACAGCCCTCTGGCTACAGCTACTCAGCAGTTCCAAGGCAAAGTGCCCCACAACAGCACCCCTACCACGAGATCACTTATCAAGCTTTATAGCCCTGTTCTAACAGTAACAAACTATCCAGAGGCAGTAGGGCTAATTTTCTTAAACTTCCAAACGCCTGTGTGCACTGGGAAATCCAACTGCTTCCTCTTTCCACCTTCAAAACCCTCTAAGACCACTCAGTGCCTTCCCCATCTACACCAACAGCATCTAGCAGTTCAGAAATCTTGCACGAGCTGCACGCTGGCCCAACCCAGCCTCACCACGCACTTCTCTGTGACAAGGTACACAGCAAGCTGTACCAGAACAGCAAAGCACAAACTGTGAGTTGAAGCCACTGCATGCACTGTAATGTTGGCGCCAGTGCCAGAGCTGCTGCTTGCTTGCAGTCACAGCCTAACCCCAGCCAGCAGCTCACCCCAACGGTGAGCCCCATGTGACCATCCTTTGCCTGCTGCTGCCTCGAAGGCACTTCCTAACCCAGCACTGACCACAGTCTTGCACACAAGCTGTTCACACTGCTTCTCCCATGCAGCCTCTCCCTTTCAGCAACGTCCCCAGCATCCAAAGGCAGCACCCTACACAGACCTGCACCCATTGCCAGAAGCTCATAGAGCTCTGCTCCCAGCGCTAACCTCCTTCTTGAAGTGCTAAGAAAACAGGACTTCTTTGGAGACATGCATATGTCACAGTAGCTCTCAAAGTTATTTGTGTTTGTGAGGAAGAGTAGAGCGTTCATTCTCCCTGTCCCCTGCACACCACACATGGCACTGCACACACAGCAGGAACAGCTGTAAGCACCACAGCAACAACTAGAAGGTGTCAGGTACACACCATGACCAACTCAAAGAAGACTGCTCACCAACGACTTAGGTCTCAGTATGTTTTAAATTAGGGCATTCCCAGGTGCTTTTGGTTTTGGTGTTTTTTTTGTTTATTTTAAGGGTACATCAATTTAAATTACATACAAGTATTTAAATCAACCATCTCTGAGTGCACACCAAGAAAGTTTCTGCTCTGATCTCTGGCAGCGCTGTGAGGCGGGCTGTTAGAAGAGGAAGCCTGCTCGGATCTGCTTCCTCCTTCCATGCTCCCCTCCCCTCCCGCCTCTGACACAGCGCTCCCAGCCCAGAGCCCTTTATGTAACACCACAACTCATGCTCCAGTCACTGGGCAGCTGCAAGGAGGAGAGCTGTGTGTCCCAGAACAGACAAGCTGTAGTACGCTGCTTGTGCAGGGCACGAGCCGGGGCCGGCAGCTCCCAGAGGACCAGAGTGTGCAGCCGCAGCCAGGCAGCCACATGGTGGGAATCACAGTGGGTTTGGAGACCAAATCTCACATGAACAGAGACGCCAGGCCAGAGAGAGAACTCTGCAAGTAGCAGGCACGTGTGTGTTCTCACAATGAGAACAAAGTCTCACCAAAGAAGGGAAGGTGTTCAGATCTGTGGTGATGAAATATCGAAGTTTTCGCAAACGCACTTTGTGTTAAAAAGCTCCTTTTAGGAATGACTGCCCCTCCCTCAAACAGACAAACACCAGGTCACAGCACAGCCAGGAGCCCGTAGGATACGTGTTGTAGCTGGGAGGAACCTGTTATTTTTGCATCCTGCTGAAACCATCTGCGAGCGATTTGTAATTGTTCTGGATGGAATACGCTCCTTTCTCGCTCCTAATTACCAAATTAGATTAAGCCCACAGCCAGTCCCTAGGTCTGCACAGACGCCTTCCACTCAAGGCTCAAATGTTTCCTGCAAGTATGAAAATGAGTTTTGTATTTAAAGTGAATCAGTACTCTCAAATTCAACTGCTCAATGTAAACAGTAAGAAAACACTGGAATTGGCAATGGAATTGGTATCTGCCTCGTGCACGTGTAAATAAAGTCACCCATACGTGCAAACAACAATCACACGTGTGAGGTCCTTCCGCTGCATGCCCACCAGGGGGGCTGCTGGGAAAAGAGTGGGGGGAGAATGGGAAATATCCACGCAATAAAGCTGACTTACAAAGAGATTAAAGTGTGTAAGAGGAAAAGAAAAAAGAGAACAAGAATATGATTCAAGCGCAACAGTACTGAACAGACAGTATTATGTATGCTGCCACCATAACCATGAAATACATCACCTACCCTGGACGTGAACCAACCCAAGCAGCTCCCCAACAGCTGCACAGAGGCATCAAATAGAGCAAACCACCCCCTGTGCAGCACAGCACAGCCCTCCGTCCCGCCTCACAGCCAGCACCAGGGAATGGCCCCACGCAGCTGGCTGTGCCGCCTGCTAAGTGCTCACCTTACACAAACATCACCCTCCACTCAGCAAAACTGAACTCCCTTCCATTTTTATATGAGGATTATACATGGGGCCCAGCACGACACATCCTAAAACTGTTTGTGGAGATTAGGGACAAGGCCTATTACCGCAAAACGGCAAAGCAGCTAATGCTGCCGCTAAGCCTGAGAGCAAACATGGAGCTACAGGTGACACCGCTGCCAAGAGCGGCACTTCAGCATCAAGGAACTGGCGTGTAGCACTGCCCGTGTCAGAGCCCAACGTACCCAAACATCCGATTCCTATCACCGTTAGAACAGCGGTTTCGTATTGCATGCTATTTATTGCGATACTGCAGTAACATTTATATTTTAGCGTGGATTTTATGTCACGCATACGCCACTTTCACTATGGATCTCTACATCTCCGTAACAAGCCGAGATTGACGGTGCATCCACAACCAGAGCGAGGCTACCACCCTCGCCGCACGGGGTCTGTAACTTTGTGCTCGGTGAACGCGACAATTTCCCCGCTACAAGAAAGCGCGCGGGCTAGGGGCCGCCTCAAGTTCCCAGCAGCGCTCCTACAGCCACGGACATCGCTACGGCCGCGGCCTCCGGGCCGAGCGCGGCTCCCCCGGGCAGGGCCGCACCCCGCCGCCGGGCCGCCCTTCCGCCCGCGCCGACCCGAGGCGTTCAGCGCTCCGCTCAGGGCCCGGAGGAGCTCCGCGGCAAGTTGGAGCGCGCCGGCCCGGCCGGGACTTGTTGCAGACCCGCGCGGCCGATTTCTTTTCCTCCCGACTCCCGGCGGGCAGCGGCGCCGGGCCGAGGAGGGACATTTTGAGCGCGCGGAGTCTGGCCCCAAAGAACATGGTGGCCCAGGGCCTCGCGGCTCCGCTCGGGGCCCGGCCGGGAGAGAGCGCGGCGCTCGCTCGGCGCTACGAACGGCGGATCCCCGCGGATCGTGGCCGCCCCCGCGGGCCGACATCCTTCGGCGAGGGCCGCGTGGTGCCCGGCGCCGGGCAGGGCCAGGGCAGGGCAGGCCCGCCGCTGCCATCTTAGCGCGGCCCCGCAGCGCAGCCCGCCCCGCCCGGCTCGGCCCCGTTGGGAGGTGGGGGGGAGGGGGGGCGCCCGCGAGCGGCCGGCCGGCCCGCCCGGAGCGGGGGGGATCGAAGCGGGCCCGGGGCTCACCTTGATGTGGAAGCGGATGAGGGCCAGGCGGATGCAATGCGCCATGCAGACGGGCGGCAGGAACCAGACCTTGGGCGGCGGGGTGCCCTTGTTCTGGACGTGGCTGACGATCTGCTGCGCCGTCTGGCGCTCGTTGCCCTGGCGCTTCACCCACTCGTGCAACCGGGCCTTCTCCAGGGCGCCGTTGAAAAAGACGAAGAGCTCGATGTTGCCGTTGAAGCAGGCCTTGGCCAGGGCCGCCAGGTAGCCCAGCATGTGGTTCCACTGCCCGCCACTCACCCAGTCAGTGTAGAAGCCGCCGTACAGCCGGTGCAGGCAGTTGTCGGCGTCGATGAGGAGGCGCAGCGGTGTCTGCGGGGGCCGCTGCCGCCCCCCCCCCACCAGGCTGCCCCGCGCCAGCTTCTGCAGCTCGACGGGCACCACGGCGCTGGGGCAGTGCTTCTCGATGTAGTCCTGGAAGCCCTGCACTCCCATGGTGAGCACCGGGCGGCGGCGGCGGCGGCAGCGGGCGGGCGAGCGGAGGCCCCGCGGCGGCGGCGGCGGAGGCGGCTGTGGTGGCGGTGGCGGCGCGGTCCGGGCTCGGGCCGGGAGTTGCGGGCGGGCGGTGGGAGCGGCGGGGCCGGGCGGGCGCGC